TTGATTAGACTTAAGACTAAGTGATGTATTGTATCTTGAGCTTAGAAGATCATCAAAGGGAAGAACTAAAGATCTAAATGAGAAGAATAATAATACTTTTAATATGTAGTTTTCATGACCGAGTAGAACTGCATGCTGATTCGATGCGCTACTCAACTTTTAGTCACTGTTTCTAGATCGACTGCAATGAGACTATAAATTATAGAAGTTTAGTAACATCATTTTCTTCTCCTTTTATAAGCTTGAAGGTAGCTGTTTTTCTACAACTTTTTTATTTTCTCTTTTTCCTGTTTCTGTATACCAGTTTCTGCAGGTTAGTTAAGATGTCAACTTCCGGATATTTACACTTTAAATATAAACTTAATTAAAGTAGGTTAGTTATAGTTTGCATGCTTATTGGGCTACGTACCATAATTTCCAACTTTTATACAACATTGTTGTGCGTGATTCCGTAGTACTAGCTGTGAAATTGGTAACAACAACTTCAGTTATTTGATGTTTGAAAAGTTTCCATACAGCTGGAGAATAAAATTCTTATTCATCAGGAATATTTCAAACGCAGTGAAAGAAATTTTTGTACAAAGCATATTTTACTTCTATTTTTACACTTTTTCTTATCATATGATTTACATCTCTATAAGCGTAGACGAAAGATGCACAAATTAATAGTGCTTACGGCAACATTTGCAGTTACATTCAATTTTTTGAATTGTATGGCACTGAACAAATTTGGAAGACTTAAACAGACAATGAAAGAAAACAACAATTTGTGGATGATAATTGAAACAAAAGTTAGAGGTACTTTTATCCCTAAACAATGAGCCTTAAAGTTAAGTACGGCACCTTCAGAACAGTAACGTATCTAATGATGAACTGAATTCGCAGCATAAACTAGAAGAAAAATTAGTTTTGATGAAAGTAATTCGAATATATAGTGACCACCAATCGCCATCTGCATTTTAGGTGTAGATTTTTCTTTTTTTTTTCAACATAATCGTCACTGTTGAATTCTTTAAATCTAGTTGCTGTTTTTTTTCTCAATTGAAGCTTTCAATAAACAATTGTTGGCTTTTTAAACTGGTTAATCAGTCAGTCAAGGACGAGGAATATGTAAATATTGTTATCAAAAAAACAATATTTATCTATTAAAATCAATCCTAATATGTATAATATTCCTCATTCTGTCAAAATAGTTTAAATTTTTATGGAATGCGTTTTAAAGACAAAAATAAATCTATCAAACTAGTCCGATGCATTGGATTCATAAACCATTGAACAGTGGAACAATGATTTTAGCATAAGTTGCACGACCGAGCACAGTTACGCTTCATATACGCCTTGAAAATCCCTTCACAAAATCCAGCGTTTTTCCAATGGGCACAGAAATGTTTTGAATCTTGACATAACGAAAATGTTACTGCCGTAGTCGTTTCGGTCACTAAAGTTGGTGGTTGAACGGTCTTAATTTCCGGTGTCACCCATGGCCTGAACAGAAAAACAGCTAGTTTTCTAAGACAGAACCAAAAAACCTTTAGCGTCTCACGTTCTGTGGAAAAAACGGTAACCGAAATTCCAAAAATCGTTGTTTTTAGAAAAAGTCAGCTACAGGTTTCTGATTAGCAAACAATTTTTGTTTGTCATTTTTAAGATCAATCTTGGTGCTAAACCTCTTTAAAACGCAACTTAAGTAGACATTAAAACAAAAAATTGACAAGTTTTTCTGTTTGTTGAAATGCGGTACTGTTGATTACTTTAATATAGGCCAAACAGTGGCTAATGGAGGCAACAGGGTTGGCTTGCTGGTGGTTGTCGTCACATTTAAAGTTACAGGTCCAGATTCAGTAGCTGCCGTTGTTAATGCTATAGTTGTGTCAGGGATTTCGGTTGCTGGAGGAGCAAAACAGAAGCCACAAGAACGGGCACAGTAGGTTTTCATAAAATTCTGGGAAGTTAAGCAGTACCTGGACTGCACCAAACTTGTGCAGTCTACTCTTAGGTCCTCACAGTTAGCAGCTGAAAAGATTTTCATTTGGATAATCCACCTATAGCATTTTTGGTTTATAACGTCAAGTCTATCTATGATTCACTATTTGACTAGACTTCCTCTAAGCTCTAAAATGGCAATTTTAGCTTATGTTAGCTGTACTCAATTCTTCAAGTACCTAGCTTAATTGTAATCGATGAGTTTACTTTATCATCACTGTAAGTATAAAATTAAAAAATTTTTCACAAAACATTGTCATCTGCTTAATTATTTTTTAAAAACACCTGGAAACCTTTCATGATGTTAACTAAGCAAAGATTTATATGAGATTTTTGACCCGATAATTTGTTACCTGGTTTCTTCTCGCAAAATCTACAACTCTCCGGGCAGAATTGTTTCATCCAAGACGGATTGCGTTTACACCATCCTACAATAATAGATAGGGTAAGCTTAATCTTTTTTCTTAATAAATTTGCTTTACTAAATCTATTGTTCATTAACATAATTATTCTAGAAATTATATGCGAAAATATGACTAGGAAATCCTCGTTCAATACGGTTCTTCTAACAAGGAGTCACTTGCTCTTCTATATATCATAATCATTTAGGGTGATTTCAAAAAATTCATCATTCTTCAAAAAACAGCAGCTGTGGTTTAATATTCTGGACCTGATGTCATCAGTTTTTCATAATGGCAGCTTTTAGATGCTGCTTTACTAATGACGTCACTGCATAAACATTCGAGAAGAGTAATTTATAAGATCATGGACTTGTTGAAAAAATTTCTAAATCTAATCGCTGCTGTTACGCTGTAACATTTCTTCACTTTCTTGCTCATTCGTTGAACCAGAGTCCTAACCAACACTTTTTTTCTGTTGTTTCTAAATCTTTTTTTATCTAGATAACAAGCAACTACTTTTTGCATCTCAGGGCAGCCCAGAAGTAAACCATTGAAGTTTTGAATTTGTATTATTTGTACCCGAATAAGTTACAAAAACTTTCTTGTAAAATCACTGGATGGTAATATTTCATAAAAATCGGC